GACATTGGTCTTTGGCTTGGCCTGTCTTGGAGCCTTGACTTCTGCACTTGACTGGGCGAGTTTGGGCAGCACCATGTTTTCACAAACTCTTGTCTGTATAGGTTTTGCACTGCTGGTGTCTGGAATGACCTGTCTTGATTCCCTGTCGCCGCTGCTAGATCGCTGCAGTCTGGGCTCGAACCTGTCCATGCGAGCCCCTGCTTGCCTAGAGCTCTTCACATCCATCTATGGTATCTCTTGTCCAGAGCTGCTCCTTCCCGTCCTGGATTTTGTCCAAGCAGGAAGCATAGCTCCTGCCAGGACCTTTGCACGAACCGGTAGCTTCCTTCCTGCATATGGCATCTCACAACCCAGCTCATTCTCGTCGATTCTCGATCATGCATGTGTGGGTTCTCCCTCACCTCTTCGCGCATTTGCACGCCTGGGCTCCTTTTTGCTGGTCTACGGCATGTGCGGACTGGATCTGCCGCTGTTTGCGCCCGACTTTCTGCACATGGGCTCACCAGTGCTTCTTCGTTGCTTTATGCGTCACGGGTTTACCCTGCCCCTCTATGGTATGGCTTGCCTTGAGCCATTGCCACTAATTTTAGACCTCGTGCAGGCAGGTCCGTCTATGCCTCTGCGCAGCTTCTTGCGACTGGAGAGTTTGCTACCTGCGTATGGCATGACACGGCTTGGGCCGGCCCTCTTTGCTCTGGATTATATTCACTTAGGCTTCCTCTTGCCGTTACAAGGCCATGCTTGAACCGGTTCGATTGTGTTAGCGTATGGCTTGGCATGGCCAGACTCCTCCTCCCCTGCCCCGGACCATGCCAGCACAGACTCGGTGCTTCCTCCACGCAGTTTCATGTGCCCGGGATTTGCTTTGCCCGCTTATGGCATGCTGTGTCCCGAGCCTCTTTCTTCGGTCCCTGACTTTGCACATCTAGACGTAATGCCGGCCCCAAGAAACCTTATGTGTGCCGGCTTGCTGCCGCCTACTTACGGCATGGTGTGCTCGGGCTTTTCCACGCCGACACTCGACTTCGTACACCCGGCATCTATGCTTTCAACTCGGTCAATGCTGCGACCTGGGAGCCTGCTGCCTCCTTCTGGCATGTCAAGGCCAGGCCCGAGCCTGTTTTTGCCGGAGTTCGCTGCATTCGATTCGACCCCCTCACTGCAGAGGCTTGCCCGTTTGGGAAGCTTCTTGCCAACTTTTGGCCTCACCAGACTCGGGGCTCTCCTGCCTTCGCCGGATCACGCGCACCTAGGCTTCGCCTTGTCCCCTCGGTCCCTTTGCCGCTCGGGCCTGGCAACGTTGGCCTACGGCATCGTACGGGTGGGCCTCTTGCCTTCGGTGCTTGATTTTGTCCATCCTGGACCACCCCCATCTTTGCGCACTTCTGCACGCTTCGAGAGTGTTCCATTTGTTTACGGACTTTCGCGGCTCGGCGCGACCTCACCAGCCCCAGACTTCTTTCACATGGGATCCCTCTTGCTTCCGCAGTCCCATGCTCATTTAGGCGCGGTGATGCCAGCATACGGTGTGACGTGGTTGGAGGCATTCCTGTCAGCTCTGGACTTCGGCTGCTTCAGCCCACCGTCGCCTTCGAGGAGCTTCCAGCAGCTGGGACCTCCGCTTCCCACCTACGGCATTACGAAGCTGGACTTAACTCCTCCAATCCCGGAGCATGCGCACTTCGACTCGCCGCCGCTGACCAGAGGACACATGAGGTCGGGCATGGCCATGTTTTCGTCTGGCTTGTCTCGACTGGGCCCACCCCTGCCATCGTCGGAGTTTGCTGCACTTGGGCCAGCGCTGCTTTCACGAACACCTGCAAAGACAGGCAGCTTCTTGCCTGCCTACGGCTTGGCGCGGGTCGACCCGTCTCTTTCCGTCCCTGACTGGATGAACATAGCACCGCTGCTGCCCTTGCATGGGCTCATGAAGATAGGATCATCTTCGTTTGCATTCGGAGTAGCGCGGCCTGGGTTGATTCCGTTCACTACTGACCTTGTCCATGTGGACTCCTCACTTCTGCTGCACACCTCCGCTCAGCACGGAAGCGCTTTGCTTGTCTATGGCCTGACTTGATCGGATGCTTTGCTGTTGATGCTAAACTACATGCACTCAGAAGTGCAGCTTTCCTCACAGACCTTCATGCGGACCGGTTTTGCGTCGCTGGCATACGGCTTAGGCAGACTGGGATCGCCTCTCCTGGCCCTTGATCTTACCATGCCTGGCCCTTTTCTGTCAGTTCATAGCTTTGCGTGGTTTGGCAGCTTGCTGCTTGCCTCTGGCATGACTCGATCAGGCTTGCCTTTGCTGCTCCCTGATTTTGGCATCTGTGGTAGTTCGCCGCCGCCTCGCACGTTCTGCCAATCGGAGCCACCCTTGCCAGCGTACGGTATGTCTTGTTTGAGTTTGTCGCCCCTCGTCCCGGACTCTGTTCATCTCGGCTCGCCGTTCTCGTTGCGTATGCCCAGTCGATCTGATCCTTTGCTTTTCGTGTATGGTATGAGCACCCTGGGCTTCTCACCCTTCGTGCTTGACCCTATGCATTCGGAATCCCCATCGTCGTCGCGCTACCATGCACGGCCGGGATTTCTGGTGCTGGCCTTCGGCTTGTGCCGCTTGGAGTTTCCACTCTCCGCGTCAGACCTTTGTCACTCGGGTCTTCCCCTGCTTGTCCAAAGCCATCTGTGCACTGGGCCAATGCTGCCAGTGTTTGGTCTGACGTGCCCCGGGCTTCCACTGCTGGTTCTGGACCTCGCAAACTCGGAGTCCGTGATGTTTTCGCAGGCTTTCGTTCGATCTGATCTTTCGATGCCGGCGTCTGGAATTTCCCAGCCCGGCCTTTCACTCTTGCTGCTGGATCGCATCTCTTCAGGTGCTCCTCTGCTGGTGAGAGCCTCTGCAAGAACCGGTTCGCTGCCTTTGGCTTTCGGCGTGTCGCGACCAGAGGACTCCCTGCCGGTGCCGGACCTTGTGAAGCTGGAGTCAGCACTCTCTGCGCGTGGCTCCACTTGCTTGGGCCTCTTGCTGTTCGCCTATGGCCTGTCGCAGCTGGGGCTTTTCCTGCTCGTGCCAGATTCTGTTGCCCTGGACTTGATGCTTTTCCCACAAAGCCTCTGCCGAATCGGCTTGACGTCGCCGGCCTTTGGGCTGACTAAACTCGGTGCCAGTCTTCTCGCCTTGGATTTGTCGGACCCAGGTTTGTTCTCGTTCATGCACAGCCCTGTCCAGCCTGAAGCTTCCTTGTTTGTGTCCGGCTTATGCAGGCCTGGTTCCTTCTTGCTGGCTTTGGACTTTGTGAACCTGGGGTCTACACCGCTGCCGCAAAGTCTTGCTCGGCTTGGGCTCTTGCTGTTGCCTTACGGGATGGCCAGAGCTGGTTTTTCTCTGCCTTTGCTGGCTTTCGCCACTTTTGGCTCTCCGCCGTCCCCCCACAGCCTTGCGAGATTCGGGCTCCCCCTGTCAGCCTTTGGCATGTCCCGTGCTGATTTCACCTCGCTGGCTTTGGACTCCATCCACTTTGGATCGAGCATGCTCTTGAAAGGCTTTGCTCAGGTAGAAGTTAGCATGTCAGCTTATGGCCTCACCTGCTCGGGCTCGAGCCTTTCGGCACCAGACTTCATGCACCCAGGAAGTCTCATGCCCTTGCGCACGCATTTTCGAACAGACCCCTCCATGCTGGCATATGGCATGACCCAGCCAGGCTCGCTGCCTTTAGCCTTGGACCTTCTTGACCCTGGCCCGCTGTTGCCTCTCCAGTCCTCTGTCTGCATCGGACTGACATCATTGTTGTTCGGCTTGTTGCGACTTGACTTCAGCACGTCGGTGCTGGACTACCTGTGCTTGGGATCTATGATGCTTCCACGAAGCCTCGCGCACACGGAGCTGGTGCTTTCAGCTTATGGCATCGGGTGTCCAGAGTCGCTGCTGCCGCTGCTGGATTGCGTGCACCTGGAGGCTCCAATGCTGCCACGGGGCCCTCTCTGCTTCGACCTCCCCATACCTGTCTCGGGCGTTTCTCGGCCCGAGCCGTCGCCGCCAACTCCGGACCTTCTGAATCTGGGCTTCAGCCTGTCATTAAGGACTTTCTTCCGAATTGGCTTCCTCACTTTTGCATATGGCTTGTCAAAGCTTGAAGCCTTCTTGCTGGCCATGGACCTCGTGCAGCCTGAGCCACCCCTGCTCTCGCAGTCCTTCGCAAGGCCTGGTTTGCCCCTTTCTTCATTTGGTGTGCAGTGCCTGGGTCCTTCACCCACGTCACCGGATCACTCGTGTTTGGGATCTATACTGCTGCTACGCAGCTTCCTTCATGTTGGCACTGCTCTTCTTGCCTATGGCTGCATGTGTCCTGGCAGCCTGTTATCGGTTTTGGACTACGCAAATTCGGAGCTCGTCTCATCCACGCAAGCTTCTTTCAGACCAGACCTGGTGTTACCCGCCTATGGGCTAATGTGTCCTGACTTGCCGCCGTCGGCGCTGGACTATGCATCTGCCGGAGCTCCTCTGTTTGTGCGCGCGCTCACTTGCACGGACTTGATCCTGGCTGCATATGGCTTTTGCCAGCTTGGGTCTCTGCTGCCGTTGTTGGACTTTGCTCACATGGAGTCCTTGCCGTTGCCACGCAGCCCTCTGTGTCCAGAGCCGTTGCCTTTGGCCTCAGGTGTTGCGAAGCCAGGCCCTTTCCCATCTGCACCCGACTTCGTTCAGCTGGACCTGCCCCTCCCATCGTCAGGACCTCAGAGCTTCCCTAGAAGCTGTCATGGGCTCGCTGCATGTTTTCACGCAGTGACTGAGACGCCGTGAGAAGCTGCGATTCGCTCTCTGATGCAGGCTGCTCCAGCAAGTGTAAGTGCAGAACGAACAACAGCTCCGTTTCAGTTTTTCACAGGGTCGTGGTTGCAGCCATGTGTCAGGACACATCCATGTATGCCCGGCCCCCACCTAGGGCCCTAGGGTGTGCTGCAACCGCAGCACTTCATCTTTTTTTCATCGCCGCAGCGCCATGCCGGTTCTGCAAATGGAGCTGATGCAAGAGGAGCACGAGGTAAGGCACCCAAAAACGTCAGCTGAATGTAAAGTCTGGAATCTTCCCCCGCCCTTTCCAGGGACATAGCCTTCAAAGGATATATATATATATATGTATATATATATATATATATATTTATGGTCCCCCCCCATGTACCCGCGCCTCTCCCTTCTAAATGTCAGCTTTCGGTTCTGAAAGCGGGGGTCTTTGGGATACCCTTGCCCGAATCATTTCCGAATCATTTTGGTTCGGGCTCCGGCCCGGATCCAAGATCCAAGATCCAAGATTGCCCAGAGGTCTTGCACGGGCAATCTTGGATCCAAGAACCACCCGAATCATCCGAATCATTTCCGAATCATTTTGATTCGGGCTCCGGCCCGGATCCAAGATCCAAGATCCAAGATTGCCCAGAG